ATTTTATATTTTGTTATAGGTGCTATTCTTCAACGAGTAAAACTTCATCCATCTTTAGAACCTCTTATTATTGATATATTTTTTCCGGTGGTATCTTCACCAAATATGATTGGTATATGGAAAATGTTAATTATTAAAGAAAATCATGAAAATTATTTAGCTTCATTAAATTTTCTTGTTTTATTATCTAATGAAGATCAATTATTAAATATTCAATACTTAAAAATAATAAAAAATTTTTGGTCTATAACAAATATGTGTACAACAAAAATAAATTCATCTTTATGTAATGATTTATTAAATCAAACGAGAATATTAGCTATTAATGATTGTTCTCAACAACAATGGAGTTATTTCTTTTATGACATTAAGTCAGATTGGTGAAATCTTTCTTTCTTTTTTTTTGTCTTGTTTATAATAATAAAAAGATAATATAATATCATGAATTATGTCTTATAAAACACAATTGTTAATTTCACTTCTTATGTTTCGTTAAAGAACTAAATATGAGAATATGTACATAATAATTTATGGCATTGAATAAAGAGAAGAAGTAATATAATCATTATTCGTTCTTAAAATATTACATAAGATAAAAGAAAAGATACTAAATATGTAAAATAATATATATATATATATATCCGTCTAGTGTGATAGTTGAGAATTTTATTGAATAATAGTTCAAGTTTGTTAACAAATTTGGTTTTTTTTTTTCATTGCTTAAGTAAGTTTTAATATTGATGGAAAGTATTTATTTCAAAAATTTTAATTTTTAGACATATGATGTCTAATTGATTTATTAGAAAAGGAAATGAAAGATGTAATATTATATAGAATTTTCAAATAATGCTATAAAAAATTATAAACTTATTTTTCGTCTTTGATACTTCAATAATTTAAACTATAACCATCTTATTTCAAAATATTTACTTTTATTTATTATAACTTATTAATAATTAACACGAGCATTTTGTATCAAATATTGTTATCATCAAATTCTAGACAGTGATATATGTAATATCTAAGAATTATTGACTTTTTGTTTTTTGTTCTATAATTATCAAAATTAAACTGCGAAAAACTTCTTCAATAATTGAATGTTTGATAAATACTTTCTTTTTTGAATAGTATTAAAATTGAAGCACTTAATGAGGACAATTTAGTAGGAAATAGAATATCATTTGCATACAGGAAACAAATTTACTATTGAAATGATGATTTTGTTTTCAGAATAATTACTTGGAAATAATGATCTTTTTTTTATTTCAGGTTAATCAAACAGAAAATAGATAGCAAAGATAGGATTGATTAATGCCATTTGGGTACTAAACAATAGATTTTGTCAGATCCGGATCAAGTCGAACCGTACCGTTAATACTTTTAATAAATTTTTCTAATAGGAATAAGTCAGTTACGTTTTTTTCCGGTTCTTTGTATTCAATAAGTAACATGTCCTACATATTTGCTCAAACAAATAGATCTAACCGGATGCAAAAATTTTCAGACTCGGACCCAATGGATTCTACTGAATAGCATCAATCTGGTATTCAAAAAAACAAAAGTTCAAATCAACATAGCTTCATTCTTGATTGATAGAAATGATAAAGATTTTTTAGAAGTTTAATTCTTATTACAGTCTCAAATTTATAATATTACAATAAATACAAAATTTTGATTTTTGTTTGTATAGATTTTTAATTGAATTTCTCATGCTAATAATTAATTCAAAATTAAAAACTTTAAAACATTATCGTCGATTTTTATATTTATTTCAACGTAAAAAATCTTCATCAATTAACATAACTTATTCTTATCAATATACAATGCGTTTTCGTAATTATTTTGTTTGATTTATTTTAATTTTATAAATTTTCATTTTTATTAAGCACGATTACCTATAACACTCCCACCATTTGTTCCGACATTAATGTCTTATCGATGGTATGTTTTATCTTTTTCGTTACATTCCTAGAGTAAACTAATATATATATATATTTACCGTTCATGTAATTACTTACGAGAAGAACAAATGACATTATATTCGAAAAGACAAAAAAAAAAAAAAAGATAGAGATCGAAAAGTAAGATTATAGATCGAAAAGAAGGATTAAGATTATATTCGTACGATCAAACAAACAATCGTTTTTTAAGCACGTTCAACAACAACAAAAAAAAACGTACAAACAGTCATTCGATTGCTGATTAATTATATCACACAACTATTTTATGTCTTCTTTTTTTTTTCCTGTATGTTTATATGTGTGAAAATAAACGATTATTACTAGTGTGTCAAGGTTAAGACAAAAAAAAAAAAAGAAAAGGGTGAGACAGACGTGTTATCATTATTATATGTCTCGTCTTTGAACATGTTTATTCTGTATGATTCAACATTATTTATTATAATTGTTATATTTAAAGAAATTGAATCTAATCAATTAAATAATAGCAACAAACAAAATAAATATTCTTTTATTATTAATATGTGGTTTATTTCACGTTGTATAAGTATTGATTCATTAAATTCATGTTTTCAACAACAAAAAACTAAAATAAGTCATGATTTTTGTTTACGTAGAGAAAAATCAGATATTTTTACAATAAGGTAAGAATCATAGTAAATTTACTGCTTTTTGTTTTTTCTTATACTAACGTTTTTTGTTATTTAAACATTATTATTTTTTATAAAGCATTTTGTTTTTTGTATCATGTTTTATTTTAACTATGAAAGAACGATGAGTAGTAGTATTAGATAACAGTTGTTATAAGGTATCATTGTTTCGATGAAAAGTTTCATAAGAAAAAAAAAAGAATGTATTCATTGTATACATATCATTCATAAGAGAATATATCGTTTGTTCTAATCATAATGATGATCGATTTTATATCAAATCTATTATAGAAATGTTTCTCATTATTTTATAAAAAGGTTTGATTATTGATTTTTGACATAATTCTTAGGATAAGTTTATGTTTCTAAGCATCATCTAGAGACGAGATTATTTTGTGTTTGTAAGTTATCAAATTTATTAGATGTATAGTGTCAAAGTTAGTGTTCAGTAAAAAAAAAAAAACAAAAATGTGTCCGATTATAATGTGATAACTTATATATAAGAAAAAAAATCGATTATTAAATATGTTTAGTAAAATGTATTTTTTTTTTCTGTTTTGTTTATATTATCTTTTATTTGACTATGAAAATGGATGTAAAAGAATATTTTTTTTTTATCAAAGAAACAAAAAAATACTAGAAAAAACTTTGTAAAAGTTATTTTTAAATATTTTATATAGATCGAAAAAACAAAAAATATAAAAGAATTTTTATGTTCAATAAAAGTATCTATATATTTTTTTCGTTCTATTTAATGTTTATATAAATTCTTCGAAAAATATTTGATTAATTGCATATTATTACAAGTACTATTGACGTCAAAAATGACATATGCAAATAATAAATTCAGATTAGACTTGTAAAATAGCTTAAGTACTACGGAAATTATTTATCATAATAATATTTACTAAAATTATAACATATAAACCAATTTTCAGGGTCATATGTAGTCAATTAAATCGATAAAGACAACAAATAAAGTCTTTTCGATTGACAAAATCAAATTAAAATAACAAAAATATTTTTGTATTAATCTTTTAAATAAAAATAAATTTCTATTATTTACAGGAATGATGAAGATGATTGTGAACCATTAGCTAAAAAATTTTCATATCATAATCCTAATCCTAATCATCAACAACATATTCGTCGACGTATACCAAAACGTTATGGTAATATATTTGGTTCATTTGCAAAAAAAAATTTTTCATTACGAAAAAATTCAATAAATCGAGAAAAACAAACTGTTCTACCATTATCACAATCAAATTATATATCAACTAAAAATTCTCATCATCATCATTCATTAAAATGTATAAATGAAAAAATTCATTGTTTTAATTCACATAAAAAAAAATCTCATAATATAAAAAATCATCATTATAATCATACAATAAAATATGATGATATACTTGCACAACGTATGCAAGCAGCTATGAGTACTGAATTAATGAATTCACTTGATCGAAATTTTATTTTTGGTCATCATAAAAAATCAATAACAACAACAAATTCTATTATGACACGTTCACATTCATTAAATATTTGTACATCATGTTGGAATGATCAATCGAATGAAAATTCTTATGATAATTTTAATAAAGATAATATTTCTATTCATGTACCAACACCTGATTATGATGAACAAAATGAAGATATTATTATACAAATATTAAAAAATGAAAATAATATTAATGAAGAACCTATTATTGATTATGATGATTCAAAATCAATTAATAAATATGAATTAGATGATAAATCAATATTAAATTCTAATGATGAAATTTTATCATCATATATTATTCCACAAACATTAACAATAAATAGTAATGAACAAATATCTATACCACCTTTACCACCACCATTACCTGATTTAAATATTGAACAAAAGAAAATAAAATTTCATTGTCGTACTATTGCTGATAAATTATCATTTGATCATAAACTTATACTTAAAGATGAAGAGAAAGAAGAAGAAGATGATGATAATGATGATTTAAAACAATCAGGTAAATCAAAAATAAAATCTTCTTCAATAAATTTAAAATTATATTTTTTTTTTGTTTTTAAGAATTATTTAAAACATCTTCTCATAATTTATCAAAAGATTTAATATTAAATAAAAATTTTCAATCATTATCATATACATATTCACCTGATGATTCAATAACACAATTAACTAATCATGAAACAAATTTAACAATATTATGTAAAAATTCATCATTAATAGATGAACAAATTCAACATTGTTTATCATCATCATCACCAAGTACATCAATTGATATTGATCATGATGATGAAAATGGTTCATCATCATCAAAACTTTATAATGATTATAAAAAACAAGCTTCATTAATAAGTATACCAACAAGTACAATGCATAGTCATTCTATTATAATACAACCAATGCATACACATTTTGGATTACGTTCATCAACATCCTCAACATCAACAAATGAAAAATTAACAGACATGACTTTACCAAGCAAACAAATGAACGTGTGTGTTATTAATCAACTAAATGAACATTTATCAACACGTTTCCGTAAGCAACAACAAGAATTATGCGCAAACAATTTTAATAATTCTGATAATAATAGTCATCAAAGTTACGTTTCATCACAAGAATATATGTCTGGAAATAATAATAATAATAATATTCAATCGAATGTTTATGATGATCCAAAAGATATACCAGTGATCAATTCAATATGTTTATCTTCAGTACCTCCACCACCACCACCACCGTAAGTAGAATAGTTTCTTCGCTTGAAAATTTCATTAATATCATGTTCAATTACATATCAATATTGAATTGGTTGATTTTCTATTGAAAATATGGATTAACATTCTAGCAAAATGAATGTCATTATTATGTTTTGAAGACTATGACGGCTTTTCTTTTTTTTTTTGGTTGTGATATATTTGATGAATCTAAACTATAGTATTAATAGTTCGATAGTAGATGAAATGTTTTATCTCATCCAAAGAAAGTCATGATCTATCCTATTTAATATTCAAATGAATATTGAGATTTTTTTAATGAATTCTGAAAAATAGATTATGTGTTTCTGTTTTGTTCATTAAAAATGTTGTGTAGTTCGATATGCCATAAAACAAAAAAAAAAAAGAAAAACAATGTAATATAAAATCATCTATTTCCAAGTGTCACTAAGAATATTTGTCATTCATATATAGATATAATTAGAACAAAAAAAAAAGAACAAGATTCCTGAAGTACGATTTATAATCATTGATTTTTCTCTAGTATATTGTTTTGTTTTTAACTTTAAATAATAAATAGCTGTCTATACACTCAATGTAGATGAATCAATCAAGGTTAATAAGATCTTTTTAATGTCATCGAACATACTCAATAATACTAAATATTAGCAAAAAAAAAGAAAAAACTCGTTACCTATCACGTGTTTATACTTAAAGAAACTAATATAATTTCCTTGATAGACAATATAAAATAATCATAAGATAAGCCAACATCTAATCCATTTTTTATATTTTAACAATGAGTGTTAATCATTTTTCATTGAAAACTCCCAAGATATATTCATATTGTTTATACTATTTATAAAACATGCATTCGATTATAAATAAATCTATCATATTAATCATAAATAATATTAAATCTTATTTCTATATATTTTATTGTATTTGATTAAAAAGAAATAAATTATTTTCTTTCTCATTTCATTCTCTATATCAGATTACCTGCTGATGGTTTTCGTCCAATAGTACCAGTTATAAATCGTTCATTAAATTCTCAACGAACATCAATTATGACATTATCACGTGAAGCGAATAATTCAACTATACCTTGTAGTACTGGTACATCAACAATATCAAGTAATTTATCTGATACACGAATTTTACGTGAAGTAAGTTCTTTTGGAAATAATCAATAAAGTCAAAAAAAAAAAAAAAATTATTTAGTTACGTGAAAATCCATTATTTACACGTGCAAAACAACAACTTGAAATTGAACCTGGTTCAAATGGTCGACGATCAGGTCGTCGATTAATTGGATCAACATTAAATATAACAAATAGTGAAACATTAACTAATGATACAGTATCTTATATACAATTAGATAATTTAAAAAAATCTTATGAAACAAAAAATACAAAAGAATTTGAAACAATTATTATGCTTCCAAATGAATTAGATACAATGCTTGGAAAACGAACTAAATCAACAAATGATATTAATCAAATAAAATCTCGTCCATATACAAAATCATTAATACAAACACAATGTCGACAATCTGAACTTGAACTTATTTTTCAAGTAAAAAGAAAATTCTTTTTTTTTTTCTAATATTATTTATTGATTATTTACTTTTTTTTCTTTTTTTTTTACATATTAAGAAACGTGCGCAACGAAGCGAACAAAATTTGATGTGACGTATTTCCTTAATACGTGTCTGTATAAGCTAAAAAATGATGCAGTCAATCATAAACGATTTAGTTATTGTTCCTATTATTCAAATGAAATCAACATGATGGAAAAAAAATGAGAAGAAAAAGATCTAACTTCTTAATACTTCAATATCCGTTATTAACAAATATCTTTTTTTTTGCTTTTCTGTTTTATATGTTAGAATTAATTTTTTTTTTTTTCGTTTTGGCCTTTTTTGATTTTGTTCTTATGTCGTTTTGAAAGAAATAAAAAATAAGTTTCAATGCACAGATATATATTGCATCTGTCTTTTTGGTTTTTTTTTCTTGTGTGTCACAGATTATCAATTAGCTTTTACATACAAAGGGGGTAAAGAATAATTTGTATTTATATGTATAAGAAACAAATGGCACTCGGGCATTGCGAAATTTTTCTACAATACATTAAATGAAAAAAAAAACAAAACACAAGAAGAAAAAAGAGAAAAAAAAAATTTTATCAGACACATGTCACCCGAGAAACGGCAACATCGTGATAAGTACAATAATCAACAAGTATATTATTTGGTGTTGAAGTTTTCGATGATGTAGCAGATGATGAACGTTTATGATGATGATGATGTTCTTGTTGTATTGTATTTGTTCTACAACAATTTGTTAAAAACCAAATACGTGAATATTTTGTTTTATTTATTTTTGGTTGAATATTTTTTAAATTCATATATTGTTGTTGATTTTTATTTTGTATATTTGATATTGTCATTGTTGATGATAATGATGGTATTATTTGTTGTTTATTTGAATTAATATAATTAATATTATGATTATGATCAGAACATGATTCAATTGTTTCTTTTGATATATATTTATCTCGTGTACGACGATAACGTAATAAATGTAGATTATGATAAGACATTAATAAATTTCGTATACGTATTGGAAAACATCGACATAAATATTTAATAAATGCTCGACGAAATTCACGTGATGAATAAGCATATATAATCGGATTGACACTAAAAAACAAAAAAAAAAAGAAGAAGTAATAGTAGACGAAGAACACAAGAAGCAAAAGAGAAAAAGAAAAAAATATCTAATAGTTCATTGTTTTTTTTTTTTTTTAATTTATTTACCTTGAATTGACATAACCTAACCATGTAAACATTTGAAAAACAAGTTCATTTCCAGTTAAAAATTTTTCTATTGATGTTAATTGTATTTTACGTTTTATAAATAATTTTGCCAATGCAGTTAATGGATTATAAACAAAAAATGGTAACCAACATATAACAAATATTCCCATAACATAAGCTAATGTTATTGTTGCTTTTTGTTCTTTAGAAAATTTTGTTAAACGTTTACCAAATGATGTACCTATATTTGATGTTATATTTGATTTTGGTGTACGTGATATATCATATGATGTTGATATTGTTTCTTGTGATTGTACTTTTTTAGTATTTAAATTATTTATTTTTAATTGATGATTATCATTAGATATTGTTGTTGTTGTTATTGATGGTGCTAATAATGTTGGCATTGAAAAACGTGATAATGATGAATTTTGATAATCATTTAAAAATGCACCACTTATAGATTTTTTTATTTGATTTGATAATTTATTTGTTGGTAAATTTAAATGTTCATCTAAATTTGATGAACGTATTGGATCAGTATGAATTATTGTTGATAATGAATCACGTGTTGATGATGGTATACCATGATATTTACCACGATGTATACGTAAACATATATCTGCTGGTGGTTCTATTGTTGTATTATCATTTTTTAAACCTTTTTTTTTCTTTTTTTTTGTTGGTGATGTTAATTTAATACCTGTTTTAAATGCATGTAATTGTTTTATTGCAGCACGATATATTCTTATATAAACAAAAATCATGACAAATAAAGGTATATAAAATGATATTAATGATGAAAATACAATATAATATATATCATCGGGAAAAAGACAACGATATACTTCATATTGTCGTACAACAAGACGCCAATAAGCTATAGCAGGAAATGAAATTAGACCTACAATAATAAAAAATAAATATAATTAATAGACAACAATTTGATTTTATATTTACCTGAACATAACCAAACAGCAACAAGTAAATAAGGCCATCGTTTAACAAAAAATGTTTGATGATATGATATTGGATTTGTTATTGCTGAATAACGATCCAATGCAATAACACATAAATCAAGTATAGATGCTGTACTTGCACATACATCTATTGAATGCCAAAGATCACAACATGTCTTGCCAAATGGCCAATAGTCACCATATATAACTTGTACAATAGCAAATGGCATAACAATTAAACCGACAAATAAATCGGCACATGCTAATGATGCCATATAATAATATGTAGCTAAAAAGAAAAAAAAAAATGTAAATCTATAATAATTGAATATGAAAATAAAATGAATAAGAATTTGAATTTAAATTTAAATTTATTATTAATGATTTATACTTCCTATTGTAAGATTAATACGGATGAATTATTTAAATAGTACTTTTATCAGAGGTAATGTTCTATGATTTTTTTTTTAAAGAAATCCTTGAAATAGGATGTCAACAATAATAATTATTAATTTTAGCTTTTTTCCGTTCATAAGACCAAGATAATTAGTAGTAAGATCTTTAGTTACGTCATTATATTTCAATGAAATTCAAAGAAAAAGAAGAACAAGCACTCAGTTGTTCGTTATTTTTGATAACTAGACTATGACGAGTAATAAATATCCCATGAGATTATTATTGATCAAAGTTATTTAAAAATAGAAACATTTAGATTGATAATCAGTATTTATCTAGAAATTACATTGAATGCTTGATTTATTCATCTATTCGATTATGTAGGTGAAAAATAAAAATAAAAATAAAAAAAACGTTTTATTAGCTTATTAAATAGAGTATAGTTATACATTAATTATAAACAATAATATACCTGATTTTAAATAACGTTCTTGAACAACAGCATATATAACAAGACCATTACCAAAAACGGTAATAAAACAAAAAAAAGTTAAAAAAATACCTAATGCCAAATGACTTAATTCAATATTTTGTTGAATATTAAATGATGAAATATTATTAATAGTATAATTTATATTTGATTGAATAGTTGTACGAATTGTTGTACTAGTTAAATTAAGAAAAATTTGTCGTATTGTTGAATTGATGGAAATGGACATTGGATTTTTTCTCTCAAATTAAATTGATCATAATAATAATAAGAAAATATTATTAAATATTTGACGGCATTCGTCGTCATAGCGTTTATTAACTTAATTGTTTTTGTTTTTTAATCATTTTTTTGATTTAACTATACATATATCTAAAATGAAATGAAATTTAAATATATTTATCAATTTTGTTTTTTTAATTACACATAACTAAACTAAGATAGTTAATAATCAAATATCTTCTAAATAGAAAAGGTTAACACTGTTGATATAGATATATAGATCCTTTATCGATAATAACAACAACATACTATCAAGCAAAATCGAATGCCATACTGCCTTTGATCACAGTATGAGTTGAGCTATCAATACAATCATCAGGAAAACACATGCAAAAAATTGCCTCAAGTGGATTATTGCTGTATAGTGTCAATCATTAGTTTTCCTTTTTTTGTCGTACGATAAAAATAAACATAATAATTGAGTTTAACTAACAAATAAACAAATAAATAAAATCAAACTAAATTCATACCTATTTAAATCAGAGACATAGATATTCAATGAATTATTCGTTTTTATAATATATAAGTACATTCGTATATATTCTAAAGGAGATCGTAATTGAGTCTGTATGTTCTTCTAAGAAAAGGGTTCCTTCCTATTCTCTAATCGAGCGCATAACGAAGATAGAGAGAAAAGAATAGTATAAGAGCAATAGAGAGAGAGAGAGAGAAAGACTCATACAATATATGCGGTGTGGTATTTGTCGATCGAGTTCTACTAGAAGAGAATAAAGAAGAACCAGAGAAGCGTTTCAATATTCCAATAATCTACGAAACAAGATGAAGCAGAAAAAGAAGAACAAGAAGGAAAAGATGATTGAACACGCCTAGCTTCATTTTAAGCAATAAGCTATAGATAATCAAGTGCCGTTTGCTAGTTGCCACTTCTTTTCTTTTCTTTTCTTATTTTTTATTTTTTTATGCATGCTCTTTGTCTCAAGGCAATCTTTTCTGCTAACTATGTAGACTTACAAAATATTTCATCATCATTTATAGACATATATATATATATACATATATGTCTCAAATTATATTATTTTCTATAGTAAATATCTTTATGCATAGGATGATGGTGGTAGTGAACTTGTCGAATCGATAGGAATAATAGAAGAGAAACTTAATGCAATTGTTGCACTCTATCGCATTCAATGGTATAATAACAAAAACAGCTATGAGTACATTGTTTGTGGCCTCTTGTTGTCTTCTTCTTCTTCTTGTATCACTTTTGATATAATATAAGATACATATATATATATGTATGTATGTATTTATATTAGGAAATTTTAATATATATAGAGATTTGATATCAAAAAACGATAAAAATCTAATAAATACCTGATCAACTGTGTTAGTTATTCTTTTTTTTTTGTATGTGTTTAGTTGTCAAAGTTCAAGTCAAGTTGTTTTCGCTTTCTTTTTTTCTCTTATCGTTACTCAATATAAAAAAAAAGGATCATATTTCCGTTTAAGCAAGATTAAATGTAAATATCTCGGAAATGACTAACGTCTTCAATAATGTGTGTATATGTGTATGTGACGGAAAATAAACTGTGTCAATAATCGTTATTATACAATTGCTTCGATTCCATCTATCGTTTCTGGTTTTTTTTTCTTTATTGATCACGATACGAACGACAATCAAGACCAGTAATGATCTATCAACATTTGCTGTCAAACTCTTTTCTTTCTCATGTCTCACATATGGTATCGATAGCATAGAGAGTCAAGGTCAACCTCGTGACTTGT